CACTTCCACCAAGCATCACGCTCTCACACTCCTCCGCAACCTTACCAAACACACAGCAGCCTCCTTTGAAGCAGCAAAACAACTGCGTAGCAGCCGCCACACAGACCTGGAAGTCTACGCCATCCGGCGCATGGCCGCCAACCTTGAAGAACCAGGCCGCAGTAGGGCTCTCCACATCATCAACAAAGCCCTCCTGTATCGCAACCTCACACCACCCAAACCCAACATCCCATTGACAGTGCCTTTCCTGGCCCACGAGGATTTCACCAAGCACTGCCAACAGTGGCTCCGTACCACCATTCAGCAGCACAAACACCTGACTATCCCCCTCCACCTCCCCTACGCGAAGCAGCGCACAAAACTCTACGATCCCAACTACACAATCACCGCGCGTGGGAAGACACCCTCCATTCCCCACCAGATCCAGCAGACCTCCCCTGCGCATGCAATCATCTTCGAACTCTACTGCAGGATCCCGACACACCCACTACCAACGCCAACATGAACAGCACCCACTATCCAAGCAAGGCTGGTTACTTCCTCACTTTCCACACACCCTACACGAAATGGCTCAGGCTGCAGGGACTACCACCATCCCTCGTGCAGCACTTGCAGCCTTTCCTTGAGCACCAGTGGCGCCTCCACAACACGCACCTCAAACAACAACCCCGTTTTACGGCTCGCCTACTTCGCCAACTCCAAGAATACCTCGGCCAAAACACAGTACTTCACCATGCCGACCATGAACTCCAACAGCTCCGGTTGTTCTGCCCCGCCAATATTTCACTGGCGCCTTGAACACATGGCAATCCCCTGAACTGTTTGAACCACTTCATCCACGACCATCTCACAGCCACTGCTCCACCCATTTTACGCACACATCCCCTACGGCGTGGTCCACCTCAAGGAGAAGAAACAGTGGCAAAAAGGCCGGACCATCATCTCCTACTTCCACTCACTCAGCGGCAACCTACTCCGCATCACCAGCCGTGCCCTCGACATTATCCTTCAACACCTTTACCCCCAACATCCAGGGCAACTGTCCATCCCACAACTTTGGCACCACTTCCACAGCTACCTCACCCAAACCCCAGCAGACATATCCTTGTACGCCACCAACGATGACCTGGTCGGCTTCTTCAACTCGGTCGCCCAACACAGACTCATCGATGCAGTTCATTCTATGATTTACCACTGGCAACAACAGCAATCCACACACACCCTCACAGTGGATGTCCACGCCACTGGCAACCCCTTCCACCATTCCCACATCGGCAGACTCCATCGCAAGCACCCCACACAACGCACCATCCAGACATCCGACATCACCACCATCGTGGCCTTTGCGCTCAACACCTGCATTTTCCGGGCTTGCAACAACACCAAAAAGCAAATCCGAGGAGCTGGGATTGGCTCCCAACTCTCTCCAGCCCTATGCAATGTAGCCATCACACTCATCGAACACTCCTGGCACCAGATCCACAACAACTTGCTGCAACACACTGACCTACATTTCACCTACTATCGATATGTGGACAACCGCTTCATTGTACACAACGAACATTTCCTCCACCATCCCGCCATCCAAACCCTCATTCACCACAACTTCTTTGGCGACCCAGTGGAACTCGAACCTGTGGAAGACTTCCATCTCCTGGGTTTCAACATTGACCTCCAACAACGCACCATCACCTACATGCAACCTTCCCAACCCTGGAAAATCAGGGATTCCACCACCGCCGGGAGCCAGCGCTTGGCTCTGTCAGGCCTCCAATCCAGACTTCACACCATTCGAAAATACACATTTCCACCCTCCAGCGCTGCTGCCGCCGAGCTAGTGAGGCTCTATGTCCAAAAAGGACACAACCACAAGGCCTGCCACCGTTTTTTAAAAAAGCGCCGACGCCGGCGATTTGTGTGTGTCCACCCCTGGGCAAAGGGTTCTCCACCGCCACCTCTTTCGCAATTTTGCAACCAACTCTTTTTCGCAGGGGGCTCGTGGACGCATGGATGGCACGAGCCAACGAAGACCCATCCATGTCGTCGTGATACCAGACCTGATCAGTCTGGCGTACCTGCTTTCAACACACTGACTCCAATGGTCCGCCCTGCCGCTGTTCGTTGGTTCCATGGTCTTTCTTCACGATACCCTCCCACAAACAGGTTTTTCCACCGCATTTCTCAGCCGATCGTGAGTTGCAGCCAGCCGCCAACCGCAGACTTGCACCTTTGGAAACCATGTTCAACCATACTGTTTCGGCTGACTCTTTCACCTTGCGGTTCTTCGCCATCTTTCCCATCGTGGGAATCGAGATAACTGAATACAATTGTCGAAGTGTGTCAACACCTGTCTCCAAGGTTTGCGTTTCATGTCGCATTTGCGTAATTCACTTCGAGTGGAGCGACAAGCACCAGCAAGGGGCCGGAGAGGTGGGGGGTCCCCGGCCAATGAAGACACCCCCACTTGGGTGAAACGTACCTGCGCTTGTCCAATTTAACTTTTTAACCAAAGTACTAATGCAAGATGAAAACACTGTTGAGTCATCTCCAAAATTCCGGACTCCATCGCCTTTCCGTTCTGCATTTTTTTGAGCCAAGGTCGATTTGCACTAAAGGGGGACTTCGTCAACTCCAGCTCTTGCGAGCAACGTTCTAAGTGTGTATCGCCACAAGATTCCCACTGCGGGCTGTGGTGTGATCCCCACCGAGGGGCTCAGCATGCGCATAGACCCAGAACCCCTCTGATTGCTCCTACCCTCATGTGACCTTCTCTTGCCAACTCAGTGACTTACGGATTTGCATGAGACTGCTGATTGAGCGCCGCAGGGCGTACTGAGATTTGACTCCAGTTTTGATTTTCGCATGCTGCTAAGTAATCACATGTACATGCCTCGAGGCAGGACCCCTGCGGCCAAGTATTCACTTTTCTGGTTTTTCGTTCCTGCTGTTGCTCTTCGTTTTTCTAAGAGGCTTTTTAGGTGTAACGGATGCTTTTTTCAGTCAAGGGAGCGCCGGTTACGGCTTTTTGTCAAGCCTTCGGGCAAGGACCCCCACAGCCCCACCCTCCGCCCCGCACCCCCTTGCACCTTTCTCTTCTTTTCGCGCCTTTTCGTTTGCCTTGTTCTTTCTCTCAGGCTTGTTAGGTGGACCTCCAGGCTCGTTTAGTCAATGCACGCCCTGCCCACCCCTGCACCCTTGCACCTTTCTCTTCTTTTCTTGCCTTTTCGTTTGCCTTGTTCTCCCTTTCCCCCCCCCACTCCCACCCGCGAGAAAAAAGAGAGCGCGCCGGACTCCCGGTTTGTTGTGTGTGTCAGCACCTGTATCTAAGGATGCTGCATAACCTTATTCCAGGTTCTTGTAGCAGGGGCTCCGTCCTTTTCCACCCCTCTTAGTGAGCGCCGATTACGGCTTGGTGTGTGTGTGTGTGTGTCAACACCTGTCTCCAAGGTTTGCGTTTCATGTCTCATTTGCGTAGTTCACTTCGAGTGGAGCGACAAGCACCAGCAGGCGGCCGGAGCCAGGTGGGGTCTCCGGCCAATGAAGACACCCCCACCTGGGTGAAAACGTACCTGCGTTCTTTTAAACTTTAATCAAGCTCTAAAGTGCTAATGCAAGATGAAACCAATGTTGAAACATTATCTCCAAATTTCCGGACTCCATCGCCTTTCCGTTCTGCATTTTTGGGTCAAGGTCTAGTCGCACTAAAGGGGAAAACAATGTTGAAACATCTCCAAATTTCCGGACTCCATCGCCTTTCCGTTCTGCATTTTTTGAGTCAAGGTCTGTTTGCACTAAAGGGGGACTTCGTCAACTGATCCAGCTCTTGCGAGCAACGTTCTAAGTGTGCCAAACCCTGTTCCAAAGGGTACTGCAGCACACGAAAACTGCTTAAAACAAGGGAGAGAGTTCTCTGACACTACTCTGAAGCTATGCATCAAAGAGGGAGGCATCCACTGGCCATGGATGTGTGCCTGCTTTTCTTCTACACTACAGGGCGATTCTCTTGTCTCGCCCGCAAACTGGCAGGGTTCGTCGGCAGACTTGTCTGGCAGTTCTCTTTCTTTGTCACTACCGCTATGAGGTTCCCTCGTCTCGCTATGTGCTTTCATGTTTCTCTTGCTTCTCTAAACTACAGCAGGAGGTTTTTCACTCTTTGACTTAATCACCTATGTTCTCGAGAGAGATATCTCTGTGACACAGAAACAGTTCAGACCTGTTGTTCTTGGTCCTTGATAAGGTCTGTTTTTGCGGTCAAGGTCAAATCGGTTATATAATGCAGTATAGTGTTAATGCACTCCAGATTGAACCAGCAATATGCTCTTGCGATCTTCCTTCTAGGTGTGCGTGTGTGTTATTCAAGGTTCCTCTTTCAATTGCATTATCATTGCAAACGAGTTTGTGTTCATGCAGGTACCAGCCAGCCCCTTGCTTGGAACACTGCGTCGGTGGGGGGGGCTCGCTGACGGACCTTTGTTCTGTCGAAAAATGTTCAGCGAATGTTTGAAACATATCGACCAGGATTGTGTTGCTCTGGGACCACGAGCTTGTTGTTACAGGTGGTTTGCCGAGATGTCTTGCAGCCAAAGGCAAATGCAGTAATGTATATGACTGTATACATACATAAAGTATATACAGTAAAGACATGGGACAGGGACGCGGGAAAGGTCAGGGACACGAGGAGCACAGGGACGTCAGGACGCGAGGGACGCGAGGGACGTGAGGCGCGTGGGACGTCAGGGACGGGACATGAGGGACACGAGGGACATCAGGGACGTCAGGGCTCATGTCCTGCAGCGTGGGTATGGCAATTGTGACTCGGGGATATATACTTGATCCAACCCTTTTCCAATATATGTTTAGTGTGTAGGAACAGGTGGGCCTCAAGGTCTAGATAGGGTGAGGCGTTCAAAAGGAATGCAATCGGAGTGCTCAGATTATAGCAAAGCTAAGGTCGCCAGTGAAAGAAAACGAAGAAACTCAAGCAAATGCGCCAGCAATGCGCTACGAGCAACTCAGGCTCCAGTTGTTCATCCGAGTCCTGGCGAATGCACAGAAATTGGAGCAGCCAGCAATGAAGATACTAGCGTCCTTGCTCCTAGTAGTAAGGCCAGGAGCCCCTAGTAGCTTCTTGTTCCTAGTAGTGATGCCAGGAGCCCCTAGTAGCGTCCTTGCTCGTATGGATTGGACATGAAAAACAATTGCAGTCAACCCTTGCTTGCTAGCCTAGTCAACCTCCCAGGACAGCATCTATCCTGCCCAGTGCTCCCAGGCCCCCCAAACAAACTGCCGTCGACATGTGTCAATCGGGCTGCGCGGATCAAAACATGCTAGCTTGGTTGGCGGTTTGGGTGGAGTTTGGCATTGAAACACTGCCATAATTATACATAAATCGGCTGAGCTGGGTTGACGGCATGTCTGCTTACATTTCTTCCCCTCACCATCAACACTCCTGAAAGGAAGGAACTTTACATGTCATGATGTTTGTCAAAAAGGAGCATTGTTATATTAGGCTGTATGGACTTTGTAAGGAAGCAAAGAGAATATGTTGTCCCTCAAGCACAGCATGTTGTGAAAGTTCCAACTAGTCTCGATGTGATGTTCACAGCCAGTTCAGTGATGAAGTTGTTTTGCTCACGACTACTGTACAAGGAAGGGCAACTGCTCAAAACCCGACAAAAACAAGCTGGCATTGTTGCAGCCAAAAAGAAAACTCCGAATGAACCAAAAGGTTCACTTATCGTCTTGGAATTGAGAACTGCACGAGGGAAGGTATTCTTGAATTCTCAACTTGACAACCCCATTGGTAGCGGTCCTGCTCAGCCAAGCGCTCCATCTCCTTGGAGTCATTGTTGATCTCTTCTGCGACCTGAACTGATGGAGTCGACTTCTGCATTTTTGTACATTTCACCTTTTGGTCAACTCAACTACTGTAGTGTGTCTAGTGTGCACATGCAATACTTGTTTCTACTTGCCACACGAGTGGAAGCATTACCTCACCTTGGCAAACCGGTGGCGGAGTGAACCCCAACTGAACTTCGATTGCCAAAACTCCACATTTATGCATATGGATGTGTGTTAGTTTATGTATACATACATACAAAGTAAACATACATACGGTTGAAGTACGGCCTGGAATATGGCTGTGAGTAGATCTTCCACAATGTTGGAACATATGAAGTATCACTGTCCAGGCTGGCCTCTTTGACAACCTTGTCATTGAAAGGCGGCAACCATCGGGCACGTTTAAGATCCTGCTTAACAAATGCAAACATGTGAGGAAAAAAACAATTGGACTCAAAGATTGCCTTTGTCCATTGGCCAAACTGTATACTCCGCCACATTGTTTCTGATTCTACACTTGAAAGAATGGTACACAGTCCGAGTGCCTAACCCAACCAATTGCAGTCCACACGCATTCCAGTCAATCAGAGTCAGATATACCGTCGAATAGGTTTAAGTTTGAGCGGATATTTATTTGATATCCACCCAACTGTCTAGGTCTATGATGCACTCTGTTTGCAGAATTGAATTAGGTGTCTTAGGCTCAAGAATGGCCTCCTTCCAACATGGCCATGTTAAGTGGAACTTGAATCAAGATTGAATTGGTGAAGTATCCCAAAGTAATGAAAACTGACCCTGTTGCAAAAAACGGCCTGGCCTGACCTGGCCTGAAAAGTCGATGACCAAAACGCCCAGCCTGGAGAAGCTGCACTGCCTTACGGCCATGGAGCGACATGCCGCCCTCAGTTTGCACCAAGGTGTCCAGAAAAACTTTTGTGAAGCACAATCATGTCTTCAATCTTCTTCAGGGTGAGTTTTCACTGGTTTTGACACACAAAGCTCACGAATCAAGCTTCACAATGTGAGGGAGTTCAATGCTGCACTAGGGACTTTCGGGTCAGCACTTAAAGTGCCATGTCTGTTCCAAATACTGAGATGGAACATGTTGAAGAATCTATATACTTATTGAAGATTCTATAAGCTCCATTCTGAGATTCTTAGGTGTCATTCTGAGATGTCATTAAGGATGCTGTGCTGACTTGCAACCGAAGATCCCTTTTCAGGCTTTGAGGTGCCAAAGAGCATCAGCGGCTTCAGAAATGTACAAATCAAAAACAAAAGTTTGCTGGAAACCCTGAACTGGCAACCAACGAATGGTACGTAAAATCACAGTGCAGGAAAATACTAGTTCATACAAAACGCAGGAATTCTACCACCAATTGCTGAGTGCTTTCAAGTGTTTCTGTTTTTCTCACAGATCAAAGAGACACGTGTCCAACAAACAATGTCAACTGACAGCGTCTATCCATCGACCTCCAGAACACTGGGTGCTACTTCTAGGTCTTCAGGAAAGCCAAGGTTTGGCCTCAAGGATGGGCATCAACTGCAAAGTAGATGGTGTTTACTTACTCTGGAGGATCATGAGTCATACAGTCAAGTCAGTGCCACACTTAGTTAGATAGATGGTTCGCAAGAACACACGTCAGTTTTGGTAGCCCTGTGGTGTTAGCACTTTAGAGTCTAAGTTTTGCATTACCCATCTAGAGCGCTGAGCCTGCCAATGGCCATACGTGAACGGAAAGGTGAAAGGGTCAGAAAACAATATTTGTTTACATCAATCTCGGCTTCCGTGCAGGTACGTGGATTCTGCGTCCAGAATCCACATCAGCGACTCAGAACAGCCTCTTCGTTGGATTTGCCGCTGTTGAGTGTCAAGCAGTCACCCTGCCAGTAATTATTGAACTGTACATGTTAAATTCGAGTCGATCGAGTCGGTACAAAGAAAAAGGAAATTAATCAAAGGAGAAAAGCATGAGTTGGAGTGTGATTGAGTCCCCTTGGAAGCAGGGTTGACACGCACAATGAGCCGATGTCGGTGCTCCCTTGAAATCATCACGAACACGCGCAACGAGAGAGAGTGCTTGTTTTCCACGCGAGATCAGCTGACACTCTATTGGATTGTGCCCTTTTTGGGTGGATCAGGGTGTTGATGGCATCGTCGATCAAGGTGGTTGGGTATGAATATCTTCTGATACGCAGTCTAGTCGAGCCTGCGGAGGCACGGTCCTGGATAAGTGGTAGTTCCCTGGGCAATGCTCAGTGTGAAGCCAAGCAAGCGCAAGTCGTCGACGGGCTCGAGTTCTGCAGGGTCGCCGAAGAAGTCCGGGTGGATGAGGGTCTGTATGGCTGGACGTTGGAGAAAGGCGTCATTAAAAATGATGAATCAGTTGCCCATGTAGCGGCAGTAGGTGAAATGGAGTTGAGTGTGGTCCAGTGAGGATGAGTGGGGCTGGTGCCAGGAATGTTCAATGAGTGTGATAGCTACATCGCAGCAGGATGGTGAGAGGTTAACATGCAAGTTCAGAGCATTGTGGACAACGCCGGTAATGTCGAGGCGGCCGATGTGTGAGTGCTGAATGGGTTGCAAGTCGATGGTGAGAGAAATGGATTGCAAGTCGATGGTGAGAGATGATGTTTGGCGCGTAGAAAACTCCATTGGTGACGAGGCTGTTGACTGCTGCGGTGAGGCGAGGCGGTCTTGACGAACTGAATAGAGGAAGCCAACGAGGTTGTCATTGATGGCATGGAGGTGAATGTTTTTTGGTGAAGTATTGGTGGAAGCGCAACCAAAGCTGAGGGATGGAGAGTTAGGCGGGATGTTGGGGAGGGAGTTGAAGGAGCATAGTGTCAGGCTGTGGACGTGGTTCGTAGGAGAATTCCATGGGCTGATTGTCAGTCGGAGATAATGGCACGGCCTTGTTTCCAACCATTCTTTTGCTTCAGGTGAACAATGCCGTTGGGGATGTTGAATCTCCTGCAAAAGCCTTATTTGTATTTTTGGCGAAGGGCTGGTGGGAATGCGGTGGAGAGGTGTTCCTGGAGAGTGTCTAAGGTGCGGTGTGGAAGTGGTTTGAAGGATTCAGGGGCGTGCCAGGCGGCGCGGCATCTCTGAAATAGGGCTGGAGGCATAAGATACAAAGATGCTGCGTGGTGCAGGATGACCTGATCGCCTAGGAATTGCTGAAGTTGCATGAGGGATCTGGCGGTGAATCGGGCAAAGCTCCGGACGCAGGCGGAGAGAAGGTGGCACGCCATGATGTTTCAGCCAATTGGCGAAGGCGAAAGTGATGGAGATATCGATGGGAGATTGATGTCTGCCAACTGAGGGCGAAGCGCCCCTCAGTTCTGGGGTGTGGCAGGTCGCGGGGTTGAAGATGAGCGAGCTGTTCCTTGTGAGGGGGATGGTGGAAAACTTGCTCCTAGCGGCGGGTTGTGGAGCAGTTTTGCGAGCGGCCTCGCGGAGGCATGTTGGTAAGTAAAAGGGATGGTATGGTTCTGGCTGGTGATGTTGGTGAGCTATTGTTGGGTATCACGTTGGAAGGTTTCGTGAGACAGGAATGGGATGGCGAAAGGTTGGTGGGGCATGGCTTTGCTTTGCATAGGCCTCTAAGTCTAAGTCGGTATATCGGCCTGAGCGTAGGGCCCGGGCAGCATCAAAAGATGTACAGAAGGACTTTATGAGTTGGCCTAATGTGGTGAGGGCGTGTCGTCGTTGGGGTGTGAGGAGGACTGGTTGTTAAGCGGCGATGGTTGGCGAGCCTGCGAAAAAAAAGAAAATCAGCTGCGAGGTGGAGATGGCGGGAGATGAAAGGCTTGAGAGAGGACATCCACCTGGCGATGTATAATTAGGTGTTCTTGGACCCAGGCTTTGATCGTGGTCGGTGTGGGTGGGAAAATAGATCATGGAGTAGTTGGTGATGGTGCCTGTGGAGTGCCAGTAACGAAGAAAAAGGTGTGCGGAAATAGGAGTGTTGTTGTTGAGTTGGCGAAGTTTGGCCCTTCGGTTAGGTTCGCGTTGCGGTATGCCGAGAGTCCCAGAGGGGTGGGTTGGTGGTACGCTAATCTCTTGGGTTCGCTGGGTGGGAACTGGCAATGTGGAGGATCGTCCTGGAATTCGTGGGAGTCAGTGGGACGCCATGCTCTTGAAGTTTTGTGCGTGCTTTTTGCAGCTCCTCCTGCTGACTCTGCCGTCGGCGGAGGGCGCCCCCCTTCCGATGGCACCGGTGTATGTTTTGAGAGACTGTCAATGGGCAGGGAAATTCAAGGGCTGCATAAAAGCTTTGCGTCTACAGTTTTGCTGGGTGGTGTTCTACTCTACAGTGCGCCTGATGGAGATGGGGGGGTGTCTGTAATGGCAACGAGGCCACAACGAAGTTCTCGAAGGCTGGAGAAGGGGTGGGGATGAGGCATTGCTCAAAGTGCGGGCGGTAAACTCGGAAGGTCCATGGTATGCCAGCAGCCAGGGGGGAGACTTGGAATGTGGGTTAAAAAGCTGCTGGATTTGCGCTTGTACACAACTCGGTCCCGAGTACAGCTGCACGTCCTGACTCATGTACACAGTAATGTCGGCTGCCCGTTAGAGTTTTGTGACATTAATGAGATACAAGATGTAATAGCTGTTCCTCGAAAGCATCCGCGGCTTCATGGGCAGAGCATGGGGTGGGCGGTACTGTTTCGGACTCGTCGTCTTCAGGTATCTCTCGCTGCCTTTGAACGCTGGTTCTCCTTCAGAGGGTGCTTGGCTGTGCTCAGCCTCCCCCCCTGCAATGGTTTGATTTTTACCTGCCTATCTTAGATGCTACTGCTTTGCGATTACATGTTTCTTGGCGTTTTGTCGCCACTCTTCTGCTACCCCTCACCTTTTGGCTTTGGTGTTAGGGGTCTCCGCACCAAGAAGAAGGTATGCCCCTGGTGGGCGCGCACTTTCTACATGGCAGCAAAGCTGGAGTGGGAGCCGGATTGGGACGTAGTTCGATACGTTGATGGGAGGATGAGGTTGCGAAGCCCAGCGGCCAGGTGCCTGGCGACGAATGTGGGTTGAGTAGGAACAGGTTTGGCGGGTTTTGCGGCATTGGCTGGTAGTGAGAACGCGTGGGCATCTGACAATGGATCACAGTGCAAATGAATTCAGCTCTAGCGCGCGTTAGAAGTACGAACTGCATGACAACGCACGATGATCAGTGAGTAATCCAGAAAGCCCTGTGGCTTTCGATCAGCACTCTCGAGCAAAAATGAGTGATCGGACGAGATTCCAGCACAAGGACAAATGATCAAGAAGGGTCCTCCGGAAGGGTATGTGAATTCAGCACCCGATGATCCAACGGGATCACACAGTGCACCGGCCGGGCAGCACTGCAGGTCACACTTAGATAGATGGTTTGCAAAAGCAAATGTCAGTTTTGGTAGCCCTGTGGCGTTAGCGCTTTTAAAGTCTAGTTGCTGCGTTACCTATGTCACGTAGAGCGCTGAAACCTGAACCTGTCAATGGCCATATGTGAACGGAAAGGTGAAAAGGTCAGAAAACAACATTGTTTACATCAATCTCGGCCTCTGTGCAGGTACGTGGATTCCGCGTCCAAGATATGGAATCCATACCACTGTCTCAGAACAGCCTCTTCGTTAAACGAAAAAGAAACTATATAGTTAAAGGAGAAAGGCATGAGCTGCAGTGCGATTGAGCCCCCCTTGGAAACAGTGGTTGACAAACAAACACGCACACTGAGATTGTTGCTCGCAAGAGCTAGTATCAGTACGAAGTTCCCCTTGACTTGATGAACTGAATGAACGAAAACCGAAAGGTGGCAGAGTCGATGGACTTGTAGATGTTGAACAAGGTTTCTCTCAGGTCACTAGTCGATTAGTACAAAACACTGCAGTGGACAGCTTATTCAACAG